ATTTGATTTGATTAGATCTGATCTAAATTTAGTTCAAATTAATCTCAAAATTATTAAGATACTTTAATACTCCCTCCGTCTCAAAAAAAGGCCACAATCATTATTTCGGTCTCTCGATAACTTTTGTTTGTTTACTCGTTTTGGTTAACCATTTGATAAAATAAAATATTCTTGTCGCATCTTGTTTTGTAAAATTTTTGATATACTTTTGAATCGTATAATTTTTACTTTTATTTTTTTAACAATTTCTAAATAAAATAATTTTGAAAGAGATGATATTCTGTACGTCGTTCAAAATATGGTAAACAATTTGGAACGAATTGAGTAACTTTTAAAAATTATAATGATAATTCATATTATAATATAATCAATAACTTTTATTCTATAATTATTAGACTTATGAAATAAAAATAATCAATTCATATATACATTAGAACAAAAATCGTTGACAATAATCAATAATTGAAAATTTTAATCATTTACTTTTTAATATTCCATATAGAAAAGATAGATTATTATTATTATTATTATTATTATTATTATTATTATTATTAGAGTATTCAATCATTTGAAAATATTAATGTTATGGGTCGTAAGGTCGAAAAAACTAATATGCACGATCTGTTGGACTCTATTTCCTTTATTAATTTAAAATTTTAATAGCAACGTGCGATTCAGGAAGTTTAATTATCATATTTTGGGAGCACGCCTCGTATAATACTCCCTTCGTCCCAAATTATTTGCCACATTTGTATTTCAAGGCAAAATATCAAGTTTTTTCAATTCATTTTATTTACATATTGGTATAGAAATAAAAAATAAAATTTACATATAAAAAAACTACATGAAAAGTTCTTCGAAATAAGAGGTGTCAAGAATATTTTATTTTATCAAATAACCAATGAAAACGTCGAAATAAACAAAAGTTCCCGTGACTGCTGAAAAAGCAAATGTAGTGAATATTTAGGGACGGAGGAAGTAAACAATATTGACTTGGTATTTGTGCTCACGCCTAACATTCAACGCGCTTTTAATTATTGGGGCAGTAGATATAGCTTAAACGTGTGGGTTCCTTGACATGGTATTGGAGCTTTGTTGGCTAAGAGGTCACGGGTTCGAAATTCAACGCCACCCAATTTTAAAAAAAAATAAGGTTTTAACACAAATATATACAAGTAAAAATTTACAAGCGATAGAATTCTCTAAGACGTCGACGCACGCGGACATCAACAAAACTTCTTCCTCTAGTGTCCCTTTTGTATTGATTGTGCCGCCTAAGTCATCGACTTTTCGGTCCTCGATTTCTCCTTGTGACTTCTCGGCGTGCACTTTTTTTCGATGCACTTGATTCCAGTTCAGTTTTCGAAACTGAGTCTGGGCTCGCCAGATTCACTGGCGGGGTTTGTTTTTCAAGAAATACTAGTACCACACCCGTGCGTTGCACGGGTCATATTTACGTTATTAGATTAAGACCATTTTTGAAAGATACAAATTAATATCTTAAAGAATATATATATTTTATTATTTTCAGGTACAAAGTAATTAAAAATTATTGAATTACAATATTTAGCCTATACACTCCTTCCGGATAATCTCTGTCATAGTTTTTGCACTTAAACCTGGAACCAAGATAACATCAATCGTTGGTATTCTCAATGCCAACCACATCACCAATTATCTAATAATATCCTTTCTGCAATTAAATCTTAAATTTATGTGTATAGTTTTAAAAATATAAATAAGTCAAATCATAATTTTGGCCATAAATTTTGTTCATATTTAATGGTTTTTTACCATTTTTCTTGCCGAACTAATAATAAAATGGAGAGCTTTATATACCACATAAAAACAAAGGAATATTATTTAAATACATAAAAAAATTAGAGAGGCTAATTACGAAAGTGATTAAAAATGACCGTATTTATAGTATGAAAATCTTTGTTCCTTTTTTCTATTTAATGGCGTCAATTTTTTTATAATTTATAACTTTCGGAATAATAATTTATAATTATTATTATTATTATTATTATTATTATTATTATTATTATTATTACCATATAAACATGTGCAAGTAACCGTTGTTAATTGACCAAATAGTAGACAAATTACCATTTCTAAATTCAACACTTACCATATATGATCTCACACTTATATATATTTTTTATATTTTTCCAACCAAAATAAGGTATAATTATCTTCTACGTTTGTCATTATTATTACACTTATTATCATGTTTATTATTATTTTTATTATTCTTATTATTATTACATTTATTATTATTACGATATACACATGTATTTTTGTATTCTTTCAACAAAAATAAGATATAATAAATTTAGCTTATTAATAAAAGCTAAAATTTTTTATTAAAGAAATGAAAACTTTTTATTAAACAATACTTTGACTTCTTTTGAGAAATGTATCAATAAGCCTTGTCAGCCCTTTCATAATAATAAGTATAATTTTGGGACACACTATAATTAATAACATCTCTTTTTTTATTATTTATAATTTTATCAGAACAAACCTAGTCCTTTAACAAATGAAAACTTTTTATTAATGGCGTCTATTTCGCTATATACCATAATTAATGGCACCATACACATTTATTATTGTTATTATTGTATGGTACATCAAACATACTCATCTTTCTGTAATTGTTTATATTCTTAACATTTTTATTTTACTATTTTTATTACTATTTCGACGAAAAGGTAATAATTATTTTATCCAAAAATAATATATTTCCATAAAAGGTAATAATGTAACGTAAATATGTAAACGGTTTCCGAAAAGGAAACAAAATATAAAATAATTTATTTATATAAGATTCTGTTTAGTACCAAAATTTTACAAAATTGGAAGTGATATAATAAAAAAAATTATTACCATTTTTATTTTATTTTTTTATTACTATTTCAATGAAAACGTAATAATAATGTATGGTACATAAAATGCACTCATCTTTGTTTAATTATTTATATTCTTACCATTTTTATTTTAGTATTTTTATTAGTATTTCGATGAAAAGGCTAGGTAATAATGCATTTCTTCCAAAAATAAGATATTTCCATAAAAAGTACTCCCTCCTATCTGAAATGATATTTTCATTTGATTTTTATTGGTCAAAGTTTGTAAACTTTGACCTTGATGTATGGAAAAAATACATTGTATTTCGATATAAATATAATATCAATAGTTTCCTTATGAAACGTAGTTTTGAAATATTAAATTTACATAAAATATATCTATGTATAAATGGAGATATTAATGGTCAAAATATAAATTGGAGACCGTGAAAAGTCAAATGAGAAAATCATTTCCGAACGGATGGAATAATAATATAAGTAATTATATCAACGGCTGGGTTCTAGAGCTACTCAAAAAGAGTGGCTACGGAAGTCACTCACCCAATTGGGACACCAACGATGCTCCGTTCGCAAAATTGATAGTTTATAACCAAAATTTTCATAAAAAGTAATAAAAATTTATTTCCTGTTTAAAAGGTAAAAATGTGCCGTAAGTGAAATTAATTATCTCTATAAAAGGTAATATATTACCATAAGATTGAAAGCTAAGCGTAAAATTTTTAAAAGCTATTAAACCATTTCCATAATTAAATTGACATTATATAAAAGATATATTGGGCAATAGTGTACAAAAAGTTTCCTAAAAATAAACTTTATTTCAAAACTATTTCCATTCTTACCTTTTTTAGCTTAGTATTTTTATTGCTATTTCAATGTAATACATGCCTAACAAAAATAATATATTTATATAAAAATATTCAACCATTTAATAATTATAAATTATTAAACACGTGAGCGTTCTATTTCAATATTATTAAACACAGAAACGTTCTATTTTAATTCTTACCATTTTTAACTTAGTGTTTTTATTACTATTTTCAACGTAATAATAATAACCCTTCTGGAGACGTTTATAAATTATTAAGGACAACTATATATATAAACATTAATAGTATTAAAATTTCTATAATATAATATGTTATAAGCACAATTATTATTATTATTTAAAAAAGTTTATTAATTATTAACTGAATTATATATGAAAACATTGATATATTATTAAAAATTCCATAATATAATACGTCATATGCAAAATTATTATTAATCATTACACATGTAAACATTATTAATTATTATGCACAATTATACATGGAAACATTCCAAAGATGAATAATGGCCATGGATCAAGATTCTGACGCTAATCGACGGTTCACAACGTACGCGCGTTTAGGCGGGAAAAATTTCCCCTGCTTTTAAGAATAGTATTGATTAGAAAATTCTTGAACATTTGGTGAACTCACATTGCGTTCTCATGAGTCATGAAGCTCAATATCGGATAGAAGATTCATGATAAATTTTAAAAAGTGAAATTTGCACTAAATAGGACTAAAACATAAGTTATTTCCCAATGTAAGACTTAAAATTTTTAATTCCCTAAATGTCTATTGGAAGGATTAATATCCAGTAATGATGGATATTACTTGAATAATGACTAATTGATAATGATCAGAGATCCTACATTAGGAAATAAAAACATTTGGTCTTATATTGAGAAAGTCATTATGTTTTAGTACTATTTTGATAAATTTCTTATTTAAAAATTGATGAAAGATGAGAAGTATTTTTATAAGAAGTGAGAGAGTGTGTGTGTGTGTGTTGAAGATTTGTGTGTTTTGATTTAAAATAATAATAGTGAATTTATGGAGTAAAAAAGAAGCTGAACAACATTATAGCCGTTTGAAGAAGGGGTTGAGTTTGTTCACCCGTTAAAACTTGGACACAAAGTCAATGATTGTGGAGTAACGCCCTTGGGGGCAGTGTTTAAAGTCTTAGCAACGTTAAACACGGGAAAATGCCCCACGCTTGTGGTGGTAGTTCAGAAACATTTATTTATATTCTAAGAGTTCCCCACTTTTCTGTTCATCTACGAATACGCCCATCAAAGCATTCAACTTTTTCATCAATAAAAGAAAAGAGATCCAAGAACTCGTTTTGAGGTAAATAAAACAGAGCAATATTATATAATTATTCACCTTTTGGAGAATTATTCTATGAATCCGTCACAGGGATATTTCGTCAACTCTCATGCTGATGAACCGTGCATTCATCAACTCAAAGCACAAGGAAAAATCTAAGCCTGCAAAAATTTATCTCCTCCCCCTCTTCCTCTGATAAAGATCAATCCATGTGTGCAGAAATTTATATATAAAATGATGAGTGATGATCAGAGTGGCCTGAAGGGGATGAAGTCTATGCTATTTTTTTATCTGCAAAATTTGGTGAGAACCTGATCATCATCATCATCATCGCCATCTCCTGGGATGAATTCAGTCATCAGCTTCTTCTTCTTCTTCTTCTACCATGCCACCTCCTTGATGGTTGAGAGGACCCTGAGGAGAATCAGAACCAGATTGGGTCCCACACTTCGCGGGCAAAAACAAGTTCTCCAACACAGCAAGAGAATGATTTAGGGACGTCGATGGAACCTTCCTAGCGTGGAGCCTATATTTCTGGAGGAATCAGTCACAAATGAAAACCCATCATCATTAGCATATTCAAACTGATGAAATTCAAGAAAGAGATTGAATATGCACAAGAGATTGAACACCAACCTGCAAATGGCTCTTGACTTCATCATTGGTCAGGCCATCAATTTGCATAAGCTCTCTAATCTGCTTGGGAGTCGCAACTGAGGAAGGAAAAGCCCAAAGCACAAACACAATCAATCAATTAAAAGCCTAATTAATTAAAAACATATAGCCAAAACCAAATTCATTCGGGCTAGAAACTAAACAAACCTTGTGCACCCCCAAGTTGTTGCAGGGCATTGATGAATCTCTCATGCAAGTCTGGGGACCAACATCTTCTTTCCTTCCTACTGCTACTATTGCTTGAAGAAGCAGTGGAAGATGCAGCAGCCTTGGTACTAATGTTAGTGTTAATACTCAAGCAGCAACCAACAATCCTCAAATCCTCACTCGGGTTCTTGAAACCAGGTGTACCGAGCGTCAGCCCGGCTACTTCTGGCATTTTCCTCTTCTTCTTCATCTTCTTGTCTTCGTTCGTAGTCGTTGGAAATCCAGAAAGTCTCTTAAAAGGCATTACAAATCCATTCCCTATATTGCCACTCCTGCAAGGGACCATTAGGTCATTGGTTATTGTGCTATTCTCTGCTTCCTCCATTGTCTGAAATCCACAAAGAAAAGAAAAAACCACACACAGTTCATAAACCATGAATTGATACCAATACAAATTGTTGAGTATGCAGCAATAGAAGATAGATTATTGAGTAGTGTTCTCTTATTACCATTCTAAGGTCGGCGTCAGGGCGGTTTTTGTTATTGGTGAAATGGTTTTCACCATGCCATAGCGCTGCAGAGCTCATCCAATCCATTTTTTCTCTACTGTCTCCCTCTTTCCTGATCTCAGTCCTATCTCCGCCATCATCATCGCCATCAGAGCTCTTCTTCAGTGGTAGAAATTCTTCCAGTACAGGTTCAACCCTTGATTTCCGACACTGTGCCGATTCCACTTTCAAGGCTAAGATTGCTGCAATTATAACAACAATCCAAAACCGATACAAACAAGTTAATTATCGAGACCGTAAATCTCCAAATTTCAATTTATTATTGTTTTTCTATCCGAAGAAAACATGATCAGAACAAACATCCAATAAAAATTCAACTTAGATTTCCACAGACACAATCAAAACTCAGATTCTAAACATTCACATATACTGAATCTGCATAATCTGAACAGATATTCAACCATCAGACGGGGTGATTCATATAATCCCAACAGTACAGAAAAAAGCCCAGGAATCGAATTTCCAAAACCTAAGCGAGATATACATATACAGACAGGCAACGATAATTGAAACCTCACCATCATTGACCAGGAGCATGCAGAGAGGGAGCTCGCGCTTGAAGGCATCGATCTTCCGCAATTCGTCTTCAAGTCTCGCCGCATAATCTTCGATCCGGAACAGTCTATCGGATGAGCTATCGATCGTCGAGATTTCGCGGAGAAATTCGTTGATCGTTCTGGGAACGAAGACGGGCCTGCAACCCAAGGTGAGTTCAGAGGGAATCGAAGCCATTTCCGATTATGTTATGCCGCAATAAGATCAGTTCCTTGTAGAGAAGAGGAAATTAAAGACGGGAATCATATACGAGAGAAGAGGGAGATGAATAAAGAGAGGGAGCCGAGAGAATCTGTGAGTTGGAGAAGACGAAGATTCTTCAGGAAGAATAAGGGGGAATGAGCGATGCACCTGGGGGGAAACAGTCACGGTTCGCTGCATAAATAAACTTAGTCCACGAATAAATTTCACATTTCTTTTTTTGGAAAGTTTTTAATACTAAAAAAACTTAATTACCCTTCATTCACTCTCTCCCCTTATCTTTTTTTCTCCATTCTCTCTCTCCCTTATCTTTTTTTTTCTTCACCNAGCGGAAAATCGAGGCGGTGGTCAGGGGTGTGGCGGCCGGATCCGAACAGATCTAATGTCTCCCCTTCTTATTTTTTCCCGTCACCCAAGATTGGGAGCACCGGAAAACCGAGGCGGTGGTCGGAGGTGTGTGGCGGCCGGATCCGGACAGGTCTAATGTAGTATAATCTCCATCACCTCCGCCCATTTAATTTTTCTTTTTTCCCAAAGCTTCCCATATTTGTTCATAGTTCTAACTATAAATTTTCCAGATTTCCCCAATTCCTCAATTTAATTTTATGTGTAAGAAAGTTAATTTTTATGGTAATAATGGTTGAAGGAGATGTATGAGGGTTCACAGAAGGAAGTGAGGATTGAGGATCGGAAGAGAGTAGGCATAAGGGTAATATGGGAAAGTCAAAGACAATTTCAACTTTTCTTAAAGTGCGTGCCGGGTCAAACCGGGAACTTCTTTTTTGGACGGAGGGAGTATATAAATCTGTATATTCATTAGTAAATGAAAGATGCGGATCACATCTCCCACTTCTATTTTATTCAACTTTCGATATTGTCGCCCAATTTTTATTGGAAAAATTATCCAAAATAATCCCAACTTTATCTTGTCTTTCAAAAATAATTTCATCTTTCACTGTAATGCATAATAATACCAACTTTACTGAAATTTGCCAGTTTTGGGTCGCCGTTAAGTTTCTAACGGAGGGTTAACGGAAATGCCCGTTTTAGGCAACAAAATGAAAGTTGAGATTATTTTTGAGGAATTTTCATTTTTTTTATTTTTTTAAATTTTTCATTTAAATTTTTAAAATTACTTTCTACCTCCATCATCATTTCTTTTTCCTTTTTTAAAGATTAGTCTTAGTTTAAAAAAATAAAATAATAGATATAAAAAAATGAAAAAAATGAGAAATGTAACTAAAATGATACAAAAATAATAAAATAAATAAAGTAATCAATGGAAAGTAACTTGAAATTGGTAAAAGTAAAATAAAAATATACGGGTGAGTTTTAATATTTTACGCACTATACAAAGTATTAACATATCAATTCTTATTTTTAGAAAAAATTATCTACAATAATTCCAACTTTACATGACGGCTTGTTCTTTTAAAAAATAAGTAGTACATTAAGACTCCGTATAGTGTGTAAAATGTTAAAACCCACCACTCCGTATATATTTATTTTATTTCTTACCAGTTTCTGTTTAATTTCTATTGATTACATTATTTATTTGATTAATTTTGTATGGTTTTAGTTATTTTTCTCATTTTTATTATTTTTTATATCTTTTTTTAAGGTAAGAATAATCTTTAAAAAAAAAAAGAAATGGAGGTTGAAATTATTTAAAAAAATTTAAATAAAAATTTCAAAAAAAATTAAAAAACAAAAATTCATCAAAAATAATCCCAACTTTCATTTTGTTGCCTAAAACGGGCATTTCCGTTAACCCTTCGTTAGAAATTTAACGGCGACCCAAAATTGGCAAATTTCAATAAAGTTGGGATTATTATGCATCACAGTGTAAGGTGGGATTATTTTTGAAAGACCGGGTAAAGTTGGGATTATTTTGAGTAATTTTTCCATTTTTATTTCAATAATTCCTTTTTTTTAAGAAATGTAGTTAATGTGATGATAATAATTCCAAAATTCGATGGTTGTACACAATTATTTCAAAATTATACTCCCTCCGTCCCACTTTTTTTGTCCACTTTCATTTTTGCACATCATCCAATGCAATTCTTTAATCCATTTTATCTTGTAATTTGTATATTAAAAAATTATAAAAAATTATATATTAATAATCTATATGTTAAGACAAATCAAACAAGATCACACATGACTATTTTTAGACTTACACATTGAGAGAATTTGATGAGTCAAAGTGCTTAGATGAACAGTTCCAAAAGTCAAAACTGGACAAAAAGAGTGTGACGGAGGTAGTATTATCTCTATCTTTGAATTATTCAATTTTAATTTTTTGCAGTTAAAATTGATGAAGGTTGACCACTTATTAAATAAAATTGACATTAAATATTGATACAAAAACTAATTTATTAGATTAGTTTAATATGTAGTATAATATATTCAATAAATTATTTTATCTAATCACCACACCATTTATATTTCATTTAATAATAGATCAAATATTGAAAATAATTTACTGCGAAAAAAGTCAGAATTAGACAAATAATTAAGAACTTGGGTAGTAAAATATTTATACAAAAATATTCAAGTAAAACTTGTTTTTACATGAATCTACATTTTTTCATGAATATCTGCAATTATCTCGAAATATTTAAGTATAATTGTAAAAATATACTTCTTCCGTACCAAATTAATCATCTATTTTCTTATTTTGCATGTTCAAAAAGTTTCATGTGTTTCTTTTTTTAGAAAGGTTTTTGTGACTCCCTATAATTTTACGTTTCTTAAAATTTGTGTCAAACTCAATAAAAAAGATTAAATTAAACAGAAAAAGTATAAATTATAGGCGTGTTGATTAGCATTTTGTAATATTAGAATATTGGTATACAATCTCAAATTTTGATATTAATATAATTTAATTTCCATTTTAAGAAGAAGAAATTGGACAAGAATTATAAGGTGAATATAATTTCGTTTGGTGATTCTGATTTTGGATGGATATCACTCCATAACAATAGGGGAACAAATGAGATTTAAAAATGAGGAAACCTATATTTAAAATGAGAGGGTTTTTTATAGTATGAAGTCTAAATTGGAAGTAAAACATGGGAAAAGCTTGTAAATAGAATTTCATATTTTTTATATTTAAAATAGGATTTACAATGCCAATATCTAGTACCAAAAAGTACAGTGAGATGCTATTATACAGTATCAAAATGTCAATATGCAAACTTTTATTTTGGAGATAAATAGTGTAATTCCTATTTTTCTGATAAATGCTACTCCCTATGTCTCTAAGTATTTGTCCACTTTAAACTTTTTTTATCAAAGTTGGTAAACTTTGACTTTAAATTATATATAAATGATATATTGATACAAAAACAGTTTTATTAGATTTATTGTATCAAATATTTTTAAAATATATCTTTATCTAATTAATATACAACATATATTTTATTTAATTATATGTCAAATGTTCAAAAGAGTTGACCGGAAAAAGTCAAAACTAGAGTCTAGACAAATATTCAGAGACGGAGATAGTATGTTTTATTTCTGCTTGGGTGTTTTGTTTTTTAATTATTCCCTGTTTTCTTAAATAATCTTTCTATTTTTATTCTACGCAATTTTTAAGAAAGGTAAAATTAAGTAATTAATTTTTTGCAAAATAGGACAAATGAATGTGAACTATAAAATTACTTCTTTAAAAGAAAATGAGAAGATTTGAGACATTAAAGAACGGGAAGTGCAAGGTTATTTAGGAATAAAGAGTATATTTAGTTGAGGTGCAAATCTCAGCTAACGTCAGAAGTGTAGAAGAAGAATGACCTAAATAAAAACGTATAACTAACTCATTAGTATGAGGTCTTTTGCCCTTTTGGAAGGTGCTCAGAAATAAGTTTGTGATTACTTGGCGTAGAGCAGATAATGTCAAACAAATGCGAGGTTGTGGTGAGGGTACGCGTAGTCTCAATATGTGGTATCAAAGCCTAGGTTCGTGCAGGCCAAAGTGGAAAACTGCATTGTGCAAAGCTCTAGGGGTGCGGTGTTGCACGATGTGACAACATGACCGAAGGTCTGCAAAGGGTACCTTGTGCGAAACTCTTCTTGACAAGTGCTGGTTAGGCGACGTGTCCTTTTTGGTGTTAACAGTGGTATAAGATGATTTGGTAGCTCAAATATTGTGACCTAAGCAAATTTCTGGTCTGGAGTATACCTTGTGTCAAAAGTCTTTTCAGTAAGAAGAGGTCAATTGGCGTGTCTCGCGTGGTTACGTTGTAGGGAAGGTTCAAGATGGTAAGCAAATCAAATAAATAATCGTTGAAGAGGAAGTCACGTGATTGTGTGATTTTGATTTTTAAGGGGAGTTTGTTGAGGTGCAAACATCATCCCATTAGAATTAGTCTTTTTTGGGAGAAGTGTTTGTATGGTGCACTTTGGGTGCATATCATTTTTGTGGATCTTCTCATATAATAATTTTTTTTTATTAAAACACACAGATGCTTATTTATGTATTAAGAAAATTTTTATTTTGCTCATATATACGTCTATGATGAACCTTAGGTCCACCAAAGAATTTACCTTTTGGGAGATGCCCAAAAACAAATCTGCGAGGGTGTAACCCAAAACAGATAATGTCATACTAATACGGGGTTAGGGTGAGGACACACATAGGCTGCGTTCCGTTCGTCTGATGTGATTTGATCTGATTTGATTTTTTTAAGATTTGGTCTGATCTGATTGCAGTTATAATTGGGTTGCGTTCCGTTCGCCTGATCTAATCTGATCTGATTTTTTGATGATCTGATCTGATCTGATTGCAGTTATAATTGAAGTTGTTTCTAACATGATCTGGTTTGATATTTGATCTAATCTGATCTGGTCTGATATGATCGGATCTGATTATAATAAGAATAAGTAATAAGTAGAAAAAATAAGTTCAACGGAACACTGCCTTAAAGCTATTTCTGATCTGATCTAGTCTGACATAGTCTAATTATAATCAAAATAAATAATAAGTAGAAAAAATATAGTGAACAAAACGTTGCCATAGTCCCAATATACTTTTAGAATCAAACTTCACTATATGTCATTTAGGTGGTTTTGGTTCCAATTCCTAGTTCTGTATCTCGGAATTATGGTGGTGGTGGTGCTATATAAAAAACAAAACTACTTTAGAGTTCTTGTTCATAGAATTTAGGTAGCGTTTCGTTCAGCTTATTTTTTATATTTATTACTTATTCTTATTAAAATCAGATCAGATCAGATCCAATCATATCAGATCAGATCATATCAGATAAGATTAGATCACACCAGATCTAAACAAAATTATTATTATTACTTTTATTATTACTATTACTATTAGTATTATTAGTATTATTATTATTAGTATTATTATTAATATTAATATTATTATTAATATTATAATTATCATTACTATCATGGTTATAATTATTTACAAATACATATATTCGTGTGTGTGTGTGTCTATATATATATATATATATATATATATATATATATATAGATTTTGGTTCAGGTGAGAATGCGATCTTATGAAAGAAATAAGAATGAATCTGGTGCTTTAGATTGTGAGATCTAAGGGTTAGGATTGCATCAAAATTAGGTGCACCAAAATGGTTTGAAAATGCATCATGTAGAAATGCACCATAATCCCTTGAAAATGCATAACCTCAAAATCTGAGTGCAGGATGCAATCTGAGCCGCACGATGCATCAAATCTAAAGGCTAGATTTTATTCTTATTTCTTTCACCAAGGTGCATTCTCACTTGAACCGCCTCCTATATATATATATATATATATATATATATATATATATATATATAGATTCATTAGTAAATGAAAGATGCGGATCACATCTCCCACTTCTATTTTATTCAACTTTTGATATTGTCGCTCAAATTTTTTTTCAATAATGCCTTTTTAAGAAATAATTAATGTGATGATAATAATTCAAAAATTCGATTATTGTACACAAATATTTCAAATGTATATTATCTCTATCTCTGAATTGTCCAATTTTAATTTTTTGCAATTAAAATTGATGAATGTTGACCACTTGTGAAATAAAATTGACATTGAATATTGATACAAAAACAAATTTATTAGATTTAAAATATAATATATTCATTAATGGATCAAAGGTTGAAAGTAATTGACTGTGAAAAAAGTCAGAACTAGCCAAATAATCAATAACGTGGGTAGAAAAATATTTATACAAAAATGTTCAACTAAAACTTGTTTTAAAATGAATCTACATTTTTCCATGAATATCTGCAATCATCTCGAAATATTAAAGTATAATTGCAAAAATATATTTCTTCCGTACCAAATTAATCATCTATTTTCTTATTTTGGATGTCCCAAAAAGCTTCATGTGTTTCCTTTTGTTGAAAAGTTTTTTGTGACTCACTATAATTTTACGTTTCTTAAAATTTGTGTCAAACTCAATCAAGAAAAATAAATTAAAACAGAGAAACTGAGAAATTACAAATTATAGGCGTGTTAGTTATCCTATCCTACTATATATAAAAAGAAAATGAAATGGTATATGTTTTTTCCCGCCTTTTGTTGGGCATGTCTAGACAAAATAGTTGGTAGGTTACAATAATGTCACTCTATAAATTGTAGGCATCTCAGGGCATAAACATATCCTTCACCCATTTCAATTCCCTCATCTCTTGCTTTTCCTTCGTTCCTTGCTTTTTATATATTGCCATGCACATTTTCAATAATATCTCTCTCTTACCATCTTTCCAATTTCGCTGCTTTTCACAAATACTCCGTATACCATTGGCGGTTCCTGCACCATCTTTCCTGCACTATATCCACACTTACATCGATTCTCTCTGCATTCTATTTCCACAACATTTTATTTTGAGGTATCTCCAAGCATTTTATTTTTCTGCATTTTGTTGTTGTTGTTGTTGTTGTTGTTGTTTACACCGATCAAATTTCTGCAATGCCTTTTGGGTGCCATCCCAATCTATACGGTCTTCTGGATGAAATTAACTGCACAAAGTCGGATAGTGCATTAACATCGCATGTTGTGGAAAAAAATTCTTTATGCATAGAATGGTTCAAACAAAGAGGGCGTGCTGGGAAGGATATATATGAAAGAACAAGGATTCAAGGACAATGACAATATAAGGCAATCATTGTTATGCGAGTTTGATTAACCACTTCTTCTAAGAAGTGGCGTTATATGAATGTTGGAAAAGAGATGCTGCACATACATAATTAACTGGCTTGGTGTGTGCCCATTGCTTATGTTTTTATCCGTGTATTGGTTGTATTTCTTAAAAGAATCATGCTTTCCTACCATGCATGTTTGTATCAATACATTCCCATTTAAATCTTATTCATTACTTATCTTCTTCAACTTTATATATCTTGGCTAATTTCTAATTAAACAGCAAAAATAATGTCGTTTGCAAAATAGCCATTGACCATATTATTTGAAGGAAACATCCTTGCACTATTAATAATTCTTTTCCTGCATTTTTGGGATACACCCCTAATCTGACTCTAGAATATTTTAATGTCTTTCTGTTGAAACCTGTAAGCAGAGTCCTAACACTACCCGACCTCATTTACACATAGGAGCCATTCAATTAAAAGTCAGATGTAATCCATGTGTTAATTTTTATACTCCCTCCGTCCCACAAAACATTACTCATTTTGATGTATTTTTGGTCAAACAGTTACATGTTTTGACCATAAATTAAATATAATCTAAATAAAGAAATATTATAAAAATAATAGGAAGCAGGGAATCGCTCTGCAACTCTATATTTTATTTGGCCCACATTGTAGTACTTATGTATCAATAATACTGAATTATTGAAAAGCACTTCATGCAATGTCCCTACACATCCCTAACTCCCATTATTGAAAAGCATTTTCCCAATACTCGATTTCTTGATTGTGACAGTGGGGGGTGGGGGGAACGGGGAATGCAATACATAGTGATGGGTGAAAACTGTGAAATGGAAGGATCCACTGGACATATAATCTATGTACTCACTCCGTAGAAGAGCTCAGACAATAGGTATCAAAAGTAAAATGGATTTGAATGTTTTTAGTCGATAGAGATATATGAAGTTGATTAGTTAATATAGTATCTACACAATCCTTAAAATTAATGATCATTTAAATTATTAAGTTGGAGGTACAGAGTAGGGCTCCAACATGTATTCAATTCATATTGTACATTGCTAAGTTGGAGGCACTAAAATTAATTTACTCCGTAGTTCTTTATAATACATTATAAAGAATGATGTACTGAATTGCAAAAAAAATGAAAATTACATATAACATGTAGGTTCATAGAACAGACATCTGCACATTGTTTTACACCTACAACCATTCATTTATATTCTGTGTATGACTCATACAGAACAAACGGTAAATTACATTCATAAGAGTCCTGATATTAAAAGTCCAAAGTACATCTCGATTTTTCCACTTTTTAAAATCAAATGCATCTACACTATCTAAGTCTCCAAATCTGTCATAAATATATCTATTACGTAGTAGTATATATAAAAAGATCAAAGAGCTTCATCAGATCAGTAACTTTTGTTCAAAGAATTAAAATAAAATAAACCTTGAAATCAGTTACATACGGATTTTTTCCTAAGGGTTAATAAATTGTACTGTATCTCTTACCATGGATCCCAAAGATGAGGCTGTAATCAAAAATGAAAAAGTTCCGTACGAAAGACGCGCAACCATGAAGAGAACGGAAGCCTCCAGAGATGAGAGAGAAAGAAACAGATATGGAGACAAAAAAAAAAAAAAAGAGGTGAAGGGAAAACAGACTACACAAACGAACAGGCCGGTTAATATTTGTTTACTCTGTAGTTTAATAACTTAATTAGAAATACTCCTTGCCTTGGTGGTTTCAGTAAAAAATATGCACTTTGGGCTTTTCAATAAACAAGGAATTGGGCTATATTTTGGTCTCAATGAAAAATACCCCCTATTATTATGATACTATATATAGAGGAGACTTATTCTTACAACTTTTTTTATAATGTTTCTTACAACAGTGTAATCAAGGGTGCGTTACGATTGAGCCGTGGTGTGGGGTTTATCGGGGAGAGAGGGGGGGGAGACTTTGCTTCCAGTCTCGAAAATGCATTACCACAATGTAAAAATGCATTGTGATGGCATAAAAATGCACCATTCTCACGATATGGTGAATATTTGGTACTTTTTTTGTTTTACTCATTGTTTAGTATTTTTCTCTAAAACATTTTGATTTTCAAAATTTTTTATAAAAATTAAAAAAATTTCTCATATCAATTTAGAAGAGTAAGAATAGTTGGAAAAAACTAGAAAAAACTAGAAGAAACAAGAAATTGAGAGCTTAAGCTCTAAAAAACAGGTTCTAAATGTTTCTAAAAAGAAAATTGTTATAGTGATAATATTACAATAAAAATCTGTATCTTTCACTTTATTAACAATTAATTTTAATTACATAATTTCAAATAAAAAGATGAAAATTTTTTGACCATGTGTCGCACGGGTATGAATCTAGTCATTTTGTAATATTAGAATATTGGTATACAATCTCAAATTTTGATATTCATATAATTTATTTTCCATTTTAAGAAGAAGAAATTGGACAAGAATTATAAGGTGAATATAATTTCGTTTGATGATTCTGATTTTGGATGGATATCACTCCATAACAATACAGGAACAAATGATATTTAAAAATGAGGAAACCGATATTTAAAATGAGATGGGGTTTTTTAAAAGTAAAAAGTCTAAATTGGAACTAAAACATGGAAAAAATTTGTAAATATAATTTCATGTTTTTTATCTCTAAAACAGGAGTTATAATGCCAATATATATATAGTACCAAAAAGTATAGTGAGATGCTATTATACAGTGTCAAAATGTCACTATGTAAACTTTTATTTTGGAGATAAACACATGAAATTCCTATTTTTCAGATAAATGCTACTCCCTCCGTCCCTAAGTATTTATCATTTTATACTTTTTTTATATCAAAATTAGTAAACTTTGACCTCAAATTTTATATAAATGATATATTGATACAAAAATAGTTTTATTAGATTTATTGTATCAAATACTTTCAAAATATATTTTTATCTACTTAATATACAACATATATTTTATTTAATTATATGTCAAAGGTTTAAAATAGTTGACCGGAAAAATTCAAAATTGGACAAATACTCAGGGACGGAGATAATATGTTTTATTCCTATTTGGATGATTTGTTTTTTAATTACCCCCTGTTTTCTTAAATAATCTTTCTAAAATTAAGTAATTAATATTTTGCAAAATAGGATAAATGAATGTGAACTATAAAATTACTTCTTTAAAAGGAAATGTGAAGATTTGAGACATTAAAGAACACGAAGTGTAGAATTATTTAGGAATAGAGAGAGAGTATATTTAGTTGAGTTGCAAATCTTATCTCACATCGGAATTGTAGTAGAAGAATGACCTAAATAAAAATGGATAACTAACTCATTAGTATGAGGCCTTTTGCGCTTTTTTGGGGGGTGTTCAAAAATAAATTTGTGATTACTTGGCTTAGAGAAGACAATGCCATACTAATCTGGGGTTGTGGTGAGGGTGCGCGTAGTCTAAACATGTGGTATCAAAGCCTAGGTTCGGGTGGGCTAGAGTGGAAAACTGCATTGTGCAAAGTTCTAGGGGTGCGGTGTTGCACGGTGTGACAACATGACCGAAGGTCTGCAAACGGTACCTTGTACGAAACTCTTCTTGACAAGTGGTGGTTAGGCGACATGTCCTTTTTGGTGTTAACGGCGGTATAAGATGATTTGGTAGCTCAAATATTGTGACCTAAGCAGTTTTGGTATGCAGTATACTTTGTGTCAAAAGTCTTTTTAGTAAGAAGAGGTCGGATGGCGTGTCTCGCGATGTTACGTTGAAGGGAAGGTTCAAGATGGTGTGTAAATCAAATAAATACCCGTGCAAGAGGAGGTCACATGATTGTGTGATCTGGCTTTTTAAGGGGTGTTTGTTGAGGTGCAAACATCATCCCACATCGGAAGTGGAGAAGAAGAATGATTTAAAAATAAATAGGTCTAATCAACCCATTAGAATTAGTCTTTTTAGGAGAAGTGCTTGTATGGTGCACCTTGAGTGCATGTTATTTTTGTGGATCTTCTCATATAAAAATTTTTTTATTAAAAAAACACAGATGCTTATTTATATATTAAGAAAATTCTTATTTTGCTCATATGTAGGTCCATGATGGACCTTAGGTCCACCAAAAAATTTACCTTTTTGGGAGATGCCCAAAAACAAATCTATGAGAGTGTAACCCAAAACAGATAATATCATAGTAATGAAGGGTTAGGGTGAGGGTACACATTGGTCTCGTTTCGTTCGCCTAATGTGATCTGATTTGATCTGATTTTTTGAAGATCTGATCTGATTGAAGTTAGGGTTGGACACGGTACGATTCCAGGACAGTTTCGGTTCTACCACCCCTAAGCACCGTTACCTTCACCGGATCGCATGGTATCGGTTCCGGTACCAGTATTGGCGGTTTCGGTACCATACCGGCTGGTTTCGGCCACCCTCCTATATTGTTAAAAAAAATTTTAGAAGTGTAAATGTGTAATTGTTAAACGAAATAATGAAATAAAAGATCTAAAAATGTAGTCCCTCCGTCCCGTTATAAATCGCTTGTTTTAGCTTTTGGACGTATTTAAGGAAAAGAAAAACTAGAGTTGATTTTTCGAAATTGTCAGTACTTTTTAGGAGGGATGACAATAAATGAGAAGATAAGGTGGAGAAGAGTGATTTATTTTAGAGGTAATTTAGGTATTTTACTTTTAAAAATTTACGAAAACAACTAACATGCAAGACAGAAGGTGGAGGGCTTGGTTTTCAATAATTATATACTTTTAATCAATATGGCATTGTTGGCTTAGACGGAATCACTGTTTGGTGCATGAGATGTTGACACTATTGTCACTATGTTTGGTTCAAAAAATTTAAAAGTGAAAAGAAAAAAATAAAAGGAAAAAGAACTTTTGGTACTTGGTTAGAGATGAAAAGAAAAGAAAAAATAGAAAGAAAAAAATGAAAAGACAAAATGTAATTAGAGAAAACAGAATTCCTCTCAACTTGGTGTTAGAAAAAAATGAGAGAAAATGAGAAAATAGTCCTATTCTCTTTTCTTTCCAAATTCTGTTACCCAAACATAGTGTTAGAAAAGAAAAATAGAAAGTTAAACAAGGGAGAGACCAAGTAAATTATTAGATAAAAATTTGAAATGAAAGGCAAAAGAGACTTGAAATGGAATGAACTATGAAGGGGGCAAGCGTTAAGACATACTCCAGCAAAGAATAAGTCTATCACAAGTGGGCCCCACAAAGAATAACACCCAAAGTACAACTAACCCAGCTGGTAACCCTAAGCAGCAGTACACCAAGCATTTTGTACATGCTATGTCTGTATCTTCCCTTGAGAAAGAGATGTCTTAAAAAATGAGCAGGGGTCTGTTTGGAAGAGAAAGGACATGTGAATGGACTTCTATATGAAACTATTTACACAGATGCCAAAACAGAACTGATTCATGGATGCATCAAACCATCTACTAATAATTCTCAAGCAGCAGGCATTGAAGTAGTGACAACCAAATAACGCAAGAACCGAAGACCATCCTGAACTTTCCCAATGGCTGTGCCACGATCTGCGCTGAGGTCTTCCGAAAAATTATTAGCTTTGGCAATGATCGTTTTCTGGGAAGTTTCATGGGAGTAAGCAGAAACAGCTTTGCTCGCAGCTAAGTATGCATCATTAACGTCCGATATACCTGCAGGGCAAAATCAAGCCCATTAACTTGAAAGGATATTTGCAAACTGACCATTACATATCCTAATACATAATCATATGAAGTATGAACCATCATCTAGAACTACAATCATACGAAAGAGGGGGTAAGTGAAGAAAAGAAACTGTTTGAACTATATCTGCAAATAAATCAGGAAGATAACAAATGATTTGAATTTTTTTTAAAAACAATCTGTTACAACTCTACCTGTGATAAAACTTGAAGAGACTGCCTCAATACTTGAAGTCATGAACTCTGCTCTGGCTCGGATAATCTTAGCTCTTTCAATAAAATCCTCAGGCCATTTAACTCTACCCATGTCCTCATCACCATCCTCATCCGGTCCATTCTTGTTTACATTTGATATGATAGATTTTCCAAGAATGAGAATTTGGGTGACAGCAGAGCAACACATTTCAGAAAGCCTCTGTATTAACATGGGCAATAAGTTGCTTGTTAATTGTGTCCATAACTGGAAAGTAAATACTGGTGGTTACACAAGTTGATAAGAGAAATCAAGCATAATTAAATGCATTCCTACATGAACACCCTCTGAGTGGAGAGATTCCAGTCTCCCCACGGTCCTTTGAATCATATCAATGGGAGCTAGTCCAGCCAAAGCATTTGCAAAACTACAATATAAACCAAACAAGGTCTTAAACAATCTGATTGCCCATGAAAACAGCCAACCATTCTGTATGTTGTAGAGTAATAGAGTATATAGATATATGTAAGCTCAAAAAGGAGATGAATATAATTGCAATAATGCATTTCCCGTTGCTCAAATATTCAGCATTTCTGTTGTAAAACTGTTAATGCCTGAACAAGACGGGTCATGTAATTCTACGAATCAGACCAGGACTGCAAAGTAGATTTTCCGGATGAGATGTAATATTACCCCGCGGCCAATTGAGCAGCCTTTCTCACACTAGAATCATGTAAAATCTTTATCTCAGTGTTCTCAAAATATCCAGTCTCTACTTGTTTCCCCTTTTCTGAATCAATATTTCCATCAATTTCAAAACTCAAGTCCAGGATCAGTTGGACCTGTTTAAATTTTCCATCATAAGTAGACCTTTGTTCAGAAGGTAGCTTCACTTTCTTCCTGTTAAATAGCATTGCATAATGGTTGGACAGTGCTTCAAGCTCCTGCAAGTAAACAATACCATCAAACTTAAAAGAAGCCTTTCAAACAGAAAGGAGCGTAAAGGTATAATTACAATTAAAAAATGAAAGTGACCTCCAATTGTTCTGGACCCCCATAAATATAGAAGCATCGCTCAAATGTAACCTCCTCAAATAGCTGATCTTCATCTACTTCTCCTTCAGTTCCCTTGGTCTTTTTCTCAACTTCAATACCAGTTTCTGAGATTAAGAGATCCATGGTTTCTTTACCAAGTTGCTCAAGCATTTGCATTCCCTTAGCAGTAAAAGTTTTCCCTGTCTGTATAGTAGAGCAAGTAGACACATCAGATGCAATTCTGTAACATTGAAAAAGATAATCATAATATGAAAAATTCTTTGGAGACCTCCAGTATGGATGGTCCAACAGAGCCTGTTGCTCCAGGCAGGCCACCGTGTTGAATGGATTCCTCGAGCCTGAATAAGAATTAAGAACAATTAAGGACTCAAGGTACATACTATAAGTATAACAAGCTAACTGAGAATCTGAGGGAAGGGATTTATTTGTTTAGACATTTCTCTTTTCATCTAATAACAGCCTTACAACAAGGGCGAACAACATAATTAGTTAGTATTATTGTCATTCAGATAAAAGCATGCATACCTGTGTACAAAACCAGAACCGCCTTTCAATGCATTTCCCAGTGCTTGCCAAGCTCCTGAAGTAAAACTCTCAACTGAATTGTCAATAACTTTTATTCCCTGCATAAATTGTTGAGAGGTGACCATAACCATAAGCCCATAAACAATAAGAGCAGAACATTTTCAGATCAAGACATGTTTTTGAAAATTGGAGAAATTGGTTAAATTTTCAAATACGGAAAATATGCAACATAAAACATTGACCCCTAGTCCCTACATTACACAAGCAAACAAGACCTCTTCAGAATTTCATTATCGCCTTGCCTGTCCAAGGAAAGAATCCTCACTAGCTTTCTCCAATTTATCCAAAGCCTCCTTGCGTCGCTTGTCATCCTCATCTTCACTTTGCTCCTCAACTGCAGAGTCTTCACTTTCATGCTCTCTAGATGGTTCAGATGCATCATCCCCATCCTGCACGTCAGAAAGGGTTTTTGCTGCTGTTTTGGCAGCCTCAACAGCCTGCATAAAAGTGAAATACCCAAAACGGCCATCATCAAAGTGAAGAATGGATGGTGAAATACATATAGGAAATATTTTTTAGGAAAAAGATTGCAAACATTACAAATCCCCGAATGGAATGAAAAAAATACTGGGCAGGTCAAGAGGGATTCAGTAGCGTCATATGAAACTCAAGTGCTTTCTTAACTCAGCCTTGTTTACCAACCACTTGGCAAACACCCCCGAATGAAAATTGTAAGTTCAATTCAGGAAAGCTAAAACTTTACTCCATTAGAAAAACAGTTTTTTGTAATGTTAAATCCCTTCATTTAAGAATTACTAAAAATGCAAAACCTAAGTATTACTATGCTAGAATAGTGGCAGTTTAGAAGCGGAAAGAACATAGGAAGAAGGAAATTTCAAATATGAGACATAAAAATTCCAGTCCAAAATCAAATAAACGATGGACACATAATTTCTTCAGTTAGGCATAGAGGGCAACAGTACTCAAAATTAAGCTCTGAAATGCAATTCGAAATGTAACCTAACAACATGGAAATAAATAAAACGCACACACGAGATGGAGAAATGAGAATTCTACATTGCGGGAGATCTCCTCGGCAGCAACGGCAGCTGCCTTCTGAAGGTCGGAGAGGTAAGAGAACGCGGAGAACCCCCAGCCGCCCCATCCACCACCACCTCCATCGCTGGCTCCGCTTCTATCGGGGGCGGATTAGAGTTTTGGTGCTTCAGTTGTCAATGCCGCTGGTGTCGCTGTCTCCCCTAATTCTTCACCTGCTAGATTTATCTCTTCTTCATTCGAAGATTTATCTTTCATATCGGCCATTCGAGTTTGAGTGCTGTGTTTTCCGTCGGAGTGCCGGGGAACAACAGATCGCCTATTTCCCGGTGAAGATCCACTCCGCCTCGAGTGGGGGCCGGGTTTGCTCGTAAGGTAATTGGCCTTGCGATCAGGCTCCGCGTGTGCTTAAAGGGAAGAATTAATTTGAGGCAGAGAAAAAAGGAAAAAGTATTCTTGCTTGTTTTCTTTACATAATCTAATACTAGTAATTAAAATAAATTTTGATGTAGGCCCCGTTTGGCATCAGTGTCAGAGATTACCGTTAGCATTTTCAAAAAGCTATCCGACGGTAGCCTTTAGCGTTAGCGTTTTCAGAATTAATCTGTACCATTAAAATTTTATCCAAAACGCTAACGTTAATCGAAAACGCTGTTATCAAACAAAGCCGTAATCTAGTTTGATTGATTTCATTTGAATGTAGTTATACTCATTCTTTATTGCTTGGAACTACAAGTACATCACAAGCAACTCTTTTCACACCAAAAAATATTTTCTCCGTTCTAATTTATAGTGTCTGTTTCGGTTTAAGATGTTTGATTAAATTATTTTCAAATTATTTTGAATATGACAAATGGTATAGAGTTAAAAAATAAAAATTACATATGAAAATACTACATCAAAAGATCTACAAAGCTAGTAGTGACAACAGTACTTTATTTTATCAAATTGTTAATGAAAATAAAGAAAGAAAGTGAATGAAGTTTGATCCTGTGAATAATGAACAAACATTATAAATTGGGACGGAGAGAGTATAAAATAGCACGAGAGTACTCTATAAACATCATAAAAGTTGAATTTCACCTAAGAGGGCAATTTATAAATAACATGGATTATCTAGAATGTTATTTGCCCTAGCCTTTTATGAATAGTCATGTCTCTTTAGTAAGAGATACACCAATTCATTTTAAAAAACTTCTCATTTAAATTAAAAATAAATATTCAAGAGTTATGTCATTTAAGAATGTACATGTCTCTTTAAATTATTTTTTCAGTATTCTAGACATCAGTGAAATAATAATAATTATTAATAAATTGTTTGTTTACATATCCTAAATTATTTTCCAACATTTTTCCTCATGTTTATTTTGAGACAACTCTTGTTAAAGTTCTCTAGCAAATTGTATCGGAAAGCAACCGATCGAACAATTTGGTCTTCTTCGTTGTATTCTAAAAGTTCTATCTTGTAATCCTTGTTGTTTGTAAAATGGTAGATAAGAAACTTTTAGGAAAGCATTCTCATGGACCACGCGTCTTGAAGGTTTATCCGGTTAGTTTTTACCAACATATTTTGAATTGTGTGTGGCTTGATCCCCTTATTGGGGTACATAGGGAAATTAGAATGTGTTATGTTTCTAAGTACAGTCACAACAACAAAATTAATATTTATTGCTCTAACAATTAGGTTGAAAAAAGAATAAATAGATATTACATTTTAGTTGAGTCAATAACATTAAAAAATATAATTTAGAAAAATATCCTCAATTTGTTTGAATTACATTAGGTTCAACATTTTTCATTTTAAGTCACAAATAAGTTTTGACTAAGTCTGATGCTCATGGATTCGATATTTCGATTGCTTTGATTAAGCAAAATTGAATTTAGTGAAGTAAAAATTTTAGTGGAGAAAAACATGGTTTTAATCTACGAGTGTTTTGTTCTGTTGTTGTTGTTATCATCATCATCATGATCATTATTCTTATGAGTAAATTTCGTAAAAGATCCCCAATTATAGACCGTTTTAAATATTTAGTCTCTACATATGAAATATCAATAATTTAGTCCCCAATTATTATACTACCTCCATCCCAAAAAGTTTGCCCCATTTTGACTAAAGTGGTAAAATAAGGAGGGATAATTTGGTGTTGACTTTCCAAAAATACCCTTGATGTGATGGTAAAAGTAGGATGTGATACGTAGATTATTAGAAAAAAGGTATGATGTGACAGGTAGGGTATGAAAAAGTAAGAGGTAAAAGTGGTTTTTTAATAGAAATATGATAGATTTTAAGAGACGTATTTTTTTCGAAATGGGACAGACTTTTTGGGACGGAGGGAGTATTATTTTCCACAAATAGTCCTTTATTAACATTTTCGTTAAAAATAAGGATAAAATTGTATATTCACACTCTTCTCTCTCTCTCTTTATTTAAGCTTCCTTCATCCTCTCGTACTCATTCCCAAATCCGTCATTGAGTTTGAAACTCAAAACCCAAAACTGAAACGATCACTCCTCTCTCAATTGTTCATCTTTCTCGTGGAAACCAAAATTGATACCAATAACCTTCATGGGTGAGTTTTATGGGTTAGTCTTAGTAAATTGCAAAGAAAGTAAACCTTAAAACTCATCTATGATGGTTACTGGTTTCGATTTTGGATTCCACCAAGAAGACGAACAATTGAGAGAGGAGTGATGATTCCGGTTTTGGGTTCAAAGCTTCAAACTCAGCAATGAATTTCGGAAAAAAGAGTGCGAGAGGAAAGAGAAAGCTTAATTGAGGAGAGAGAGGAGCGTGAATTTACAATTTTATCCATGTTTTTAATTAAAATGTTAACAAAGGTCCATTTCTAGAAAACAATATAATAATTGAGGACTAAATTATTGATATTTCATATGTAGGGACTAAATATGTAAAACGAACTATAACTGAGAACATTTTATAAAATTTACTCTATTCTTATTGTTGTCGTTGTTGTTATTGACATTAAGTTATTATTATAACTATATAATAACTATTACTGCTATTGTAAAAAAAAATTAATTTGACTTTTTATAGTTTCTAACGTAAAATTTTGACCATTAATATTTTTATTTATATATAGATATACTCCCTTCCTTTTTTAAACCATTTCAACCTTTATTTTTTGCTCATCTCACAAAAACCTTCTATCCCACCTAAATAGTCTAAAATATACCTAATTTTTTCTTTATTATAGATAGAAGTTATTTTGGGGTTCAAAACTAAATTTCAAAAGAGAGTACATTAATATTAAATTTAGATCATAATACTTTGTATTTTTCCACATATTATGGTCAGAGTCAAAGAAGGTTAAAAATGTTGAACAAGATAAATCAAATGACTTGGGAAGAAAGTTTCTTGGTGGAGAGAGTGTTAATATTATTATTAATATTATTATTGTTGTTGTTGTTAATATTATTACTACTATTATTATTATAAGAAGAATAATAATTAAGGAATTTACGTAGATAGCACTAAAACATAATGACTTTCTCTAAATAGCATCACATATGTTTTTTTTCCAAAATACTCCCTCCGTTTCTTAAAACGGTTCTTGTTTTGACTTTGGGACAAAATAAGGAAAGTGTAATTTTAGTTGATTTTCCAATTTTGCCCATGATGTGATAGTTTAGTTATTAGTGAAAAAGTATGATGTGATAGGTAGAGTATGAAAAAGTAGGGGTAAAAGTGGATTTTTAATAGAAAAAGGAAGTGTTTTAAGAAAAACAAAAAAAATGAAAGAGGAAGGGTTTTAAGAAACGAAGGGAGTATCATTTTTAGTTATTATACACTAGTCATTATTCAAGTAAATGTTTGTCATCACTGGATATTATGGACATTATTAAGTGCTATTTAGGTAATAAAATAGTTTATGTACTATTTAGAGAAATAAATTAAATTTTAGTGGTATTTAGTCCAAATATTTCTAATGAATTAATACCATCCATGAGTTCTATCATTCAAATGCTCCGTAATACAGAGCTTTATGTTCACAATGTATTGAATTTGCACAACCCTTTTTTCAACATGAATTTAAAACAACATCGAAATATGATGGCACTGATGCACTCCTTAATTAATAGCCGTGAAATATTGGGGGCGGTGGTGATGCGTACACAGACCCCAAGTCCGGAGGGAGAACAACATTCCGGAAAGCTGGCGGTGGTGGTGGTGGCGGAGAGTAAGTTTTCAAAGGTGGCGGCGGTGGTGGTGGAGAAACAATACGTTTTGGCTTGAATGGAACCAATGTTTTGGGTGTTGTAGACTTTTGACGGTCGGATGTTCCTTGCGGGCCAGCCCTGAAACCCGTTTTACTACAGTCAACCGGCTTGCTCAAAACTTGTTGGCATTTCTTCCTCGTCCTCTGGTTTCCCACTCCTACCAAACAGTTCCCACGATTGACCGACCCAACTACTCCGTCCTGTGGCGGAACGCATGATTGGTCCTCCGACTCGAAGTAGTTGTCGGAGAATGACAAGTTTTTAAGATTAGGCAATGTGCAGAGGTCATCAGGGACATGTCCAGAGAACCTATTGTCGTCCAGACCCATCACTTCCAAGCTCTGCATATGCTCTAATCCCGTGGGCAACTCCCCAACCAATTTGTTCCTTTTCACGTCGAGCACGGTCAAGTGTTTGAGCATAGTGATCTCTTCGGGCACACAACCTGAGAAAACATTTCCCAAGAGTAACAATTGTTCCAACGATTTCTCCATCCTCCCAATGCTCCTCGGGAGACAACCCGTGAACTCGTTGTTGGCCAAGACAAGGACGGATGCAGTCGAGTTCCCAAGATTCTCGGGGAGATTTCCCTCGAGGCGGTTGTCGTTCAAGAAAATCGCATCCAGGCCTTTGTCGAACAAAGCGGGTGGCAATTTGCCTTCGAAATTGTTGAACCGAAGATCAAGATATTTCAAGGAGGGCAGGCTCACAACAACATGAGGGAATGGGCCTACGAACTGATTGTTGCTTAAATCAATCTCAAAGAGGAGTTTTAGCTTGGAAATGCTCTTTGGGATGATTCCGCAGAACCGGTTGGAGTTCAGATGGATGAGAGCTACATCCGTCAATAGGCCAATCTCGGCCGGGAGGTGGCCCGCAATGTCTCCGTGGTTGAGGTCAATGCCCGCGACGACCTGAGACTTGGGGTCGTCGAGGGCACGATCGCAGAAGACGCCATTGTATGAGCAGACATCGGGACCCACCCAACCTGAAGTTATATTCTTGGGGTCAGAATATATGGCTTTCTTCCATGCCTGGAGTGCAACATAAGCCTTCTTTTGTCTTTCGTTGGCGAATTTCAAACTTTTATCATCAACCTTGTTTTCGAAATCA